GGGGGCTGGGATTTTCCAGGGTTGTGCGTTTCAGCACAGTAAATAGAGCCTCAGGCAGACCTAGGGTTGCCAGATGGTTTCAACAAAAATACCCAACACACTTGACATTCCATCATGCTCTCCACTGCATCTTATTTAGAAAATACCGGCCAGTTCTATCTTTTCAATTTGTTTCCCGAACAGAAAGCTCAAATACTGGAGGGGGCTGGGATTTTCCAGGGTTGTGCGTTTCAGCACAGTAAATAGAGCCTCAGGCAGACCTAGGGTTGCCAGATGGTTTCAACAAAAATACCCAACACACTTGACATTCCATCATGCTCTCCACTGCATCTTATTTAGAAAATACCGGCCAGTTCTATCTTTTCAATTTGTTTCCCGAACAGAAAGCTCAAATACTGGACGGTCTGGTTCAAAACCGGACACCTGGCAACCCCAGACAGACCCAAACTGGGACCCCAAACTGGACGAGCGGTGAGCTGTTTGCAGCCCCTGCCAGGGTCCCGGGACTGGCCTCTGTTTGAGGAACGCCACCGCCCACTGGAATGCCGGCCTGCTGCCCGGGCAGCGCCTGTCCCTGCTCACGGCATTTGGTGGGGGAGGAGCGGCGGAAACGCAGTGCAAACCCCCTTGTTCCCATCAAGGAGTCTCGCGAAGGGCTGGAAAGAGTCTGAAAGCGGCAAGTGCAGGCCCATCCCGCCGGGAACGGTGACGCCAGCGGGTGTGGGGGCTGCTGCAGAAAGCCGGGAGCCTGCTTTTCGGGTTCAACGTGCTGCGTCGTGTGCTGCTTCCACACGGCCGGGCCTCCCGGCTTCTGCATTTCCCAGCCGCTCGCGACTGACGCCAGCGTCAGGGCTTCGGCCTTTCACACCGAACGCAGGCCCAGGTGCCTGCACGCCGCCCCGGGCTGCCAATGCAGCACCCGCACTAGGCAAGGCCCGGTCTGAACCAGGGTGGGGACCGGGCCTTCCTGTGACGGCACCGCTCTGGCCCCCATGTCACCGGGCTCGACTGACCTGAGTCTCGCTGGGCGGGGGTAGCTGAGGAACAGCCTCTTGGCAAAGCCTGCGGGAGGAGAAACAATGAGTCCTTCTGGACCAGTGCCCAGGCTGTGAAGGGGTCTGGCTTCCCCTGCTGGTCATAGCCCCTTCTTTGGGGAGAGGGGGACAT